GCTATAAGCTGCGCAACAATTGGGATTTGTTTCGAACTCCGTATTCCCCCTTACGAATCCCTCAACTTGAAGCTCAATTATCTCGATTTCTGTGAAAGATATAAAAAATTGTTAACTGATAAATTATTTATCATAATATCGGCATTTTTATATATGATATCGGTGGCCTACCATCATACGAAATAATACGGTAATTAATCGGCCGTACAGTTATTTTTTCATGGGTCAATTATTCCTCATCCAGGTGAAAGGAAAGATATCTGAATTTATCTATGAACTTCGCTCGTGTCAGAAAGAGGCCGGAACACAATTTCGTATTTATTTCAGCCCTATTTTTTGTTGAAACATCCATTTTATCAGAAATAGAAGAAAATATGGAACAAAGAGAGTTTTTAAAATGTTTCTCAGAAGTTCCGCCTTTCTCTTGGTGGTTCCAAAAAATATATAGTCATTAGAAAAACAAATCGTTTTGGTCGTCTTATTTCATTTCACACCGTTTCAAATTGCTTTTGTTCCTTTTGCTTTCCCTTTGAAAACGACGACTTCTTGTTCGAAGAAAACGATTGAAATCGAGTATATTTTGGAGAAGAGTGTGACTAGTAACTGTAAATAAGGACCAAATGGAGGAAGAAGAAGATTCATGAAGCGGTCAGGAGTAGAATAACTTTTGGAAGAATTTCAAACTTAAGAAACATAAATATTGAGTGTATTGCGTTATTTGGAAACTTCTGAAAAAAAAGTTGTCATTGTTCTTGGAATTGCCGATTAAGTTTGTAAAATTATTAGAAAGGTCTGGAAATGGGAATGGCTGGTGCGCCTTCGGCGCGATTTAACCTATTTACTTTACAGCTCGCCGCTCCGCTCCTCACTTTTTGATTTCTCCTTTTCAAAAAGTCAAGTCATAATATATTTAATTTTCAAGTTAAAAAAAATTGTTCACGTAACGCAATAAATTAATAATTCAGTCAATATGAGGCCAAGCTCTCTCCTTCCGTCTACGTTTAAAAAAACATCCACGTGTTGAAAGAAAGTTCTCTGTGAAATCACACCCTTTGAATGTTATTGCTGGATAATTTTCACAAACCCTTCTCTCTGGTTAGAAGCTCTTTGCATACGCTTAACTTTTCTGGTTCATTTTCTTTTTTCTTTCGATTGGTCGAATGCGAAAAAGTACTAGAAGGCCCTAAGGGTCGCCATGTTTTGGGGTTCATGGCTAGGTAGAATCATTTCCACTGAACGTCCCCCTCTTGCAAAAGATTCAATCAAAGATTTAAAGAAATGAAAAATATCAATAAAAAAGCGTAGGCAAGGCGTCTTAAAAGGGAAAAGGAACTTTGGAAATTATCCAACAATGGTCCTCGGAGACCAGGGCGGGGGGACCCTTTCATGTACTGAGGCTCTACGTGGCGAAAGGGATCAACAGACGAAAGTCTGGCTAATCAGTACACTTGTTATTTTTCATTTTAAAAAACCGTGATTTTCTGTTAGTTTAGACGATTATCAGGAGCCTGGAGCTCGTCTGTAATGTTTCCAATCTCGGTCTCTTTGACACCCTCCAAACGGTTTAAAGTGATTGGAAACTTGACATCCGACCACCAGACTTCTGAAAATCATCAGAATGGCCGAAAAACGACTGAAAAATATGTTTTTGTAAATTTCAATGACCTAATTCTGTAGGTTCGGATATTCAGGATAAATTTTTTTACATTTTTAAAGGTGGCTGGTGCGGCTTCGGCGCGACCTAACCCAGTTGGCCCATTTTTGATATCTTGCATCAGAACCAAGAAAAATCAGCTCAAACATGACAGTATGGGGGCCCTTCTATTACAGGTTTCACGGTATAACCAGAATAGCTAGAAGAACGGAAATAGAATCTACAGAAATTCATAAATTTGTAATTTCTGATTGCACTCACAACTCCACCATATTGGTTGTTCCATGAATCTATTTTAGGTCAACCAAGGACTCAACAGAATCATTTCAAACTTCAAAACACGGTCTCGTGATACCTAGACTGTCTAGGTGCCATTTTCGAAGACACGTGGAAATGCCAAGTACCCAACCTTCTACTTCTACTTCTACTTCGTCTTTTTCTTGTTTCTCCGTTTCCTTTAATGTCCATTTTTCAATTCAACACTCTTTGCCAAGGTCACCCTTTTTAGGTTTTCTGCCGAAATCATACGAAATCTTGGTCTATCCGCCGTCTTTAATTTTCTAAGTCTTTTACTATCTGACACTTCCTCATCGGCAGCTAAAGGAAGAAAGAAGAAGACGTGGAGAGAAATAGAATGATCAGAAAGCGAACCGGGAAGTATTTGGGAGAAGAATTCGATAACTGGTAAGATGATCTGAAGACCTTATGCTACTACCATAGCCGTGCGGAAACTGAGAACAAAAAAAGAAGAAGACGAAGTAATTTTTAGAATGTTGGGGAGAAAGAAAATGCAAAACTTTATCTTTTTTGTGTTCATCTGTATATCATCAAAAAAAATTTGTGCCTTTCAAAAAAGTCTGATCTTTTTTGAGAGATTCTGGTGGAACGGAGAGGAAGGGGGATTAGGATATTGCTGTTGTGGGAGCACATTTTCATAATAAAGTCATACTGAAATATAAATTCAGTTTCTTCGGTACCTGATTTCCCGGATCGAAAAATGAAAACCTAACCTAAGAGCACATGTAAAAAATTGAACCACAGAGATACAGTAACCAAAAATTTACAGTAAAAGTATATCGCTTCCGAAAACGAGATTTTAGAAGCTGAAAATCAGGATTTTACAGCTGAAAGTCAAGGATTTTTAGCTTAAAGCTAGAAATCGGGATTTTAGATCTAAAAATCTAGATTTTACAGATGAAAGTAAATAATTGAACTGGGAGTACAGAAATGCAGTAACCAAAAATTTGCTGTAAAAAGGAGGTAGTTTTGGAACGGTTCTGGAATTTTCTGTTGTAGATTTTGGCACAGAAATCATAGAAATCCGAATTTTTAAAACCAAAAATTGGGATTTTGAAGCAAAAAAAAATAGAGTTTTACAACTGATGATCGAGAATTTTTAAAGGTGAAAATCGAGATTTAAAAACTGAATATCAGAACCCCTCGTTAGTTTAGCGAGATTTCAGAAATAATGTTAACATTCAGCAAGTTCTACGTCACACATCGTATTCATCTCTGTCATTCAATTAACACAAAATAAAGAAGATAAATGAGACAAATGAGACAAATGTAAACTGATAAGAGCGAACATATAGCTGTTGAACATCCATGAATCCTCCCTTCTATTTCTCTCTACAGAATGCCATTTATCCGAAGAATGAATTACGATAGAAAGTGAGATTAAGCTTAGACGATGTATAGAGAAAAAAGAGAGAGACGAATGGTTACGCAATCTTTTCGATACGCGATTTACAGGGGATGCTAATATTCAAAGGGCAGAACTTGTAGCTTCCGTTGAAGCATAACGAGGATTCTGAATATGCCAAAAAAAACAAATAATATTTGCGATTTTTCCACTCGAGAATGACAGTAGTTGCATCTTGTTTTTCCCCAAAAAACATTCGACTTTATTCAGGTAAGATGGATGGGACAATTAGACAAGTTTGGTAGGACGAATGTCCAGCTTAATGATCATCAAAAATAGGGGAAAGCTGAGAAGAGATGGTTAAGCTGGGAATTGGAAAAAATTCATTTTTCAGTCAGCTGATTCATGAATACACTCTTGTCAGGCTATGTTTTCTTTGATAGAACGGTATACCGTAATTTCACAACAATGATATAGGTTTCTGTGTGCGAAATCAGAAAATTGTCGGAAGAAAAATAGTTCAAGATATTATTCTGGTGCAAAAAAATAGGAGCTGTGGAAGAGAATCTGTGGCCGTAGTCGAAGGTCCCACAACGACAACCACAGTAACCGAAAAAATTGTTTCTTTTCAGAATTTATTTCATTAAGAATTCATTAAGTTAATTTATCGACTTTTCAAGGGAAAAATAACAAAACATCGAGAAAATATATTCCGAAATTTTTTAGATTACTGTAGTTTTCGTTGTGGGACCTTCGACTACGGTCACAGGTTCTCTTCCACAGCTCCTATTTTTTTTTGTACCCTAATAATATCTTGAACTATTTTTCTTCCAACAATTTTCTGAATTCCCTCACAGAAACCGATATACTGATACTTCCAACAAAATTCGAAAAAACGAAGGGGATTCAAAAAGAAGGTTGGAGAATGAAACCCCAAATTTCCATCCCTTCCCCATCATAACGAAAATGGGTTGCCTGGGATACAGAAGATGGAACCTAATAAATTTTTATCGCCCAGCCTCAGCAATTATTTTTTCAGTGCATGTATTGAGCTCTATCGAATTCTCAAATTCATTAAGAATGATCCGATTTAAGCCTCCATTCTGTATTTCATTGATCGGGAAAATACTGCATAGAAAACGTAAAATACCAAAGAGATTTCATTAATCAGTGTCAGTGGACCAAAACATGGAAATCGGGATCAGAAGGCAAAAATACGGGAAAGAGAGAAAGAAGCGAACGCTTTCAGATTAGAACATCTAGAGTTGAGAAAACAGGTTTAGAAGGAATGCATGCGGGGAGGATTTTTCCCTCTGGAATTTTTTGGCGGGTTACTGTAAATCAATGATAAAAACGGAGTGAAAAGAATAAAGCAGTAAAGCGAGGAGGAGAGCAGTAAAAAAGGAAAAAAACAAAAGAAACCAGCAAAAATACGATTTAAGAGTAAGATGAGAAGAAGACAATTATAAGTTTGAAAATTTTCTACAATTATAAATTATTTGGGGAAAGATTACATATTGGGTGGAACATGAGGCACGAGAGGAGAAGCTTATAGAATACATAATGGATTTGTTTTGTGGGAAATTAGATATAAATTAGAGGAGAAAAATAAAAAAGAAATGAGGTGTTGTATTCAGAGAAGTTCAAGAATCTACGAAATAGTAGTGAAATGCATGTGATTGTGAAACCTATTCTAGATTCTTTTTAGATTTTTGGCCCGAAATACTTCCGGTACTGTCCAACTACATAATGACGAGTTGGTTCGTAATACAAGTGTCGGAGGTCCGATAAAGCGCGATTGTTCTCAATAAAATCGTTGTGAGCTGAGCCGTCGGATCGCTGAAAATTGAGAAAAAATAATTTTTGTAGAGACTTGTTGCTGTTGCAAACCTCGAATAAGACAATAACTACGGCGATAAGGAGAAGAAGAATGAGGAAAATGACGAAGCATGTGTTGGCCACACGAGATACCAAACTCTTCTGAGTGGTCATGGATTCTTCTGACGAGCTTAAAATTGAGTCCTGTTTCTCTTCTGTGCTTATGAGTATGTTTCCATTGGTGTGAACTGACTGAAAATATCAGATTGTTTTTAATAAAACATCTGAAACGACACCTACCTTTTTATCAGCAGATGATGAAGATCCTCCATTTGCCAACTTGCCGTTCCCGTTCTTTTCCAGAATTTGCTGAAAAAAATGTTGAGTAAATCTTGAAGAATTCTAGAAATATTGAAAATATGGATGTGGGACCGATAAAAAACTGAGCTATTGGTATTTTTGCAAAAAGCGGTGAAATTTGTATAAACGAGAGGTGTTTTCGTGAAGGGAACAGTAAGAAAAAGGTGAGAAATTTTGAGAATTGATGAGTCACAACCACACAAAACTAGACCGAAGGAGGGATGAAGAAGACCTTTGCAGATCTAGGAGTGCTAGAAGCCAATGGTCGTCCTATGTCCATTTCTCGTTCCACAAGCTCGTTGAATTTATTCTCCAAGGTCTGTGCTCGTGTCTGAAATGTCACACAATGCACATAGAAATTTCGGTTAATCGTGTTTTCTGAAAAGACAAACCGCATCGAGCAGGCAAGCAAGAAGTGAGGAAACATAGGAAATGGTTAGAGTATAAGCCGGAGAGAAAAGAAACAAAAACTACAATCATTGTATCCTGGCTGAGACCATACCTGGTGAAGCGGGACTCCATAAATCGTTCCTGAAGATGATGATGACGTGGCGATCTCTTCTCGCTTGATCAGATGCACAGTGAAACTTGTCTGCAACCACAGGGAAAAAGGAAATGTCAGATTATACGAAAATCGGTTAGCATCTTAAAGATGTTTTCATACAGAATTGATTAATTGAGTATTAGGATACAGAGGTATGTGAGTGTTTTCAAGTGGAAAAGTTAGATACAGTATTACGAAGAAAACGACATGTGCTTCGCAAGACATGGTGCGTTCATGCATTATTATAAGCAACTATGTACAGTGGTATATTTCAAACTATTGGTCTACATGCTGCCATCTGATTGAAATACACCGTCCGTTCTGATAGAGTCCTAATTTTTCAAATCGTACACATCCCTCCCAGTTGTTAGTGTCTGATAGCACTCACTGAATTATGGTCTGCATGCTGTTGAGTATGAACAATTGGTATTGGAGAGGTAGATTCCGGTGATGAAGATCCTGAAAGCATAACATCAGAAACAGCGATTGATTCGGACTACATACCTCCAGCATCCATCGACACATTCAGATTTGTGATCTTCGACAGGTTGTTGTTTTGATGCTCAGAACTATCAGGAGATGAAGAACTGGATGCGATCGTGTCTGAAATGTATATACTTTTTAAATATGATGCCGCTCTTTCAAAATACCAGTGTTATCATGTCCGGAAATTTTTAGGTGAGAAGGCTTCAACCATGGTTGCTCAGCACGTGGTGTCTGGCGTGGTAGTTCGTATCGTACGACTCCGGAGCAAGATGACGTTGGAACACTCAAAGACGAGCTGAAAAATAAATAGTTATTATCTTTTTACTAGAAATGTGAAGGTGTACCAGTTTAGAATAGATTCTTCGTTTTCATTGGACATGGTTGTTTCGTTGAAAACTGCAGATGTCTCTAGAATACTTTTATCGAACTGAATTGATTTAACATCTTCCTCTTCGATTTCTTTGTAGACGCGTTTGGACGGGAATCGGAATGTTGATCCTCGAGATAGCAATGGGATGCGTGGCTTGGAGAATTTCAGTTTAACATCTCGAGCCGAATCTTCATTGAAAAAGGCTTGTTGTGACAGGATATGAATCCAGAGATGTTTCGCAAACTGAGAAGATGGGCAAGTGTACTTCAATGTCATTGGTTTCTTCTGGAAATCAAATCAATTCTTAGTTGCGAACATTTCTGGCTAATACAAACTTACCACTTGATATTTATCCATTCCACTTGATCCTGAAATCGGAGATCCTGGTCCATGTCCATTGAGGGTACCTGTTGGCGTTCCTGCAGCTGTGATTTGCCCTCGATAGGATTCCGACAGTGTTAAACGAATCTCCTTTCCCGAGTAGTCGACTTTAACCAGTTCGCTCCAGTCAATGTTATGGGTTCGTGCCTGCCCAGCATATACTAGGATGCCTTTGCAAGATGCGCCCAAATACACTGGTCCAGAGTCCTGTGGATCCTTGATGGTGTATGGATCAAATGCATAGGTGTCGAGCTGGCTTGCTTTCTCCAGAAACTCCAATTCTGCAGCATCGCTGGACTTCCCTCTGAAGGGAACTACATATTATAACCACAGAATAAACGCTTAATGCAAACCTCATCTGTTTATGATTTTGAGCAATTCGTTCTTCTAATTTCGGTGTCTGTTTGAGAAGCAGCTTGAACTCGCTCACATAGTTTCCAATGTGTTTCTCTTCATCATAATCTCCCAATTGTGTTTGCAAAATGAGAGCTGCAAGTTCGGCAGCAGAAGACGTCGGGCAGTACAGGCGTCCGTGAAGGAGATCTCTTTGAAGTTGGACGAATAGTTGGTATCTAAATCGGAATTATTTCATTGACACTTGAAGCAAAAAAACCTTAGATTTGGATCTCGGAGATGTGTAGGGTCCGATGGATAATAACGAAAACGGAGGTGAAGTGTCATTGTTTCGGCTGAAACATATATAATAAAAGTGTGAAGAGATTGGTTGAGTAGGTTGGTTATGGAGAACTCCTTAAAAAAGGAGAAAGAAAATAGTAGCTAAGCTATTTAGTGATTGAAACGCCGGAACCCAAAAGCTTCACTTCAGAAAAAAGAATGATATTTGAGGAATCTTCTTGAGAAAAACGGGCACTGCTTGAACAAAGGAAAACGGAAAAAAAAACGGTTAATTTATTAGAATACATTATACTTCGGGGAAAGTATGTCACACGAAAACTTACTTTTGCCAACTTTTTTGATTTCCTCTAGAAAAAACGAATAGATTAATTTAAAAGTATGACCTCAACCAGTATTCTGAGAGTCACTGACTTCCTCAATGTTTCTAGAAAAACACTCACTTCGAAACTGTTTAACAACATGTCCGATAGATCGAGAAAGGTCGAGCCAGTACTGAAATACGGATTCTCTTTGTTTTGTTACTGTAAATGAATAGAAAACTTACACGATGCTTATTGTGATCCTGATACCGAAGACCTAAAAAGTCTTTCTCTTGAATATGTTTCATTTCGCACACGTAATCCAGGATCGTTTGAGCGGATTGTGTTCTCTGAAAGTAAAAGTGATACTGGAAGGTTTTTAAGTTGATACTGTAGATGGTAACTAACCGGAAACTCGTTACCAATAATATCAGAGTCGTGCAATAAATGAACGTTGCACCGAACATCCTTGGCTGACAGAAAACTCGATCTGGAACTAGGAAAACGGTAATTAACGACAGTGGAGTCTTGTAGTATACCTCGTCGAAGTCGTTAGGCGTCCGAGGAACGACGACGACGTGTTGTTTTGCGGCATTTACCCCTGAAACAAAAAACTAGACTGGCTGGAAGTTTTGGGTGTATTCTATTCAGAAAAGAAATAAAATACCTTTGGAGTGTGCGAGAATAGGAACATAAACCTTGATAAACTGTGATGAAAGTGATAAAAAAAGACGATGGATGGTAAATAAAACAATGGTGGAAGAAAACTGATAAAAGGTCGAGAGAAGGCCTAGAATGGGGGTAAAAAAAGCTGAACTAGACAAGAAACAATTCCGATCGAAATTTCCAGAAAATAGGGTTTTCTTGAAAATCGCATATGTGCCGTTTTCTTCTCATTAACATTCTCAAGACAATCCGCTGCAGCCAAAACACAGTGATTTAAACCGAAGAAAACGGAAAACGAAGCGTTGTTCAATGCCAAATTTCCGAATTAATTGTATCTAATTGACCCAGATACAACGAATTAAAATGAAGTGAATTGAAAGCTCAGCGGTTTAGATTTACAAAAAAAAGACAATTTTATGACCATGACCATAGATATAGTTTCTATACGATTATTGACTATAACTAAAAAATAAAATCCAATCTGATCTGACGAATCCCCATTGCTTTTCTTCACGGTGTTTGTTCTGTTTCCAACGGAAACATATAACTGGAAACTTCTGTGTCATGTACAAAAGATGATGCCAGAAAAGAAAAGGGAAAAATTAATTGGACCAAAAGTTGAAGAGAAAAGTTTTTATAGGTACATCTGTTCCGTGTTCTTTTTCTTCTGTTCCTTTTTTCGGAAAACAAATACAACTGCAAGAGAAATACTGTGGGTGCGAAGGAGAAAGAGAACAGAGTCAGAAGAAAAAAGGGAAGAGAAAATGAAAAAAGTGTTGGTTGCACACAACAACATACATACTAACACTTGTGCGTGTGTGTCAAGCAGGGGTCTATCTAAATACGGCGCCCGGAGGCAGATGAAAAAGAGAGGAAAATGAGGGAACGGGGGAAAATGGTTTTGCGATTGGAAGTTGGGAGTTATGGAGGAAGCAGGGATGACCGAAATATTTCCGATTTTTTTTCGGAATTAGAGACTTTCGGACTACGATATTTCAAAACTTTTCTAGCGGGTCTCGAGCGGAATTACTTTTTATGGGGTTATTCACCAAAATGTAGAAAAATTTCGCAAAACCGCGGAGAATGAACCAATCTCGCTGAAATCTCGGAGAAAATCGGAGAAAATTATAGAGAGCATATTCACAAAATTTGGGGTCAAAATATCCACTTTGACCATTTTGTCTGAAATTCC